AGCAAAAAGTAAAGTTATTAATTTACCGGGTGATATAGGTTATATCGTATTGCATCCACAGAGAATGATGAATTAAAATGTAGTTCGAAATATCTCTCGTTAATGAGTTTAGGGATAAATAGGTTGAAAGGAAAAATATCAACAAAAAATAAATGTATAAAAAGGAAAAAAGAATAACTTATCAAGCATGCATATATACTACTTATCACAAACTTAAACATATTGAACTGTTATACTCAACCTACAATATTCATCAATATCATCACGTGTCACTCACAACCTATGTAATTTCTAACCCAAATTGAGAGGCTGACTGCATCACCTCGGTAGCGACTCACAACCACCTCAACAACACAGAAGTCAATTGTGCTTGCTTGCATCGATGATCTCTCAAAGCGACACAAACAACAAAGAGGTATTAATCACAAACACCCTAAGTGAATAACAATACTAAATCTATCTATAGAATTCATACACTATTAGATAATTATCCTAGATAAGAATTAAGCAGTATATGTCTATAGCAACTCAAATCCAACACAGAGCAAAAATCAAGGATAAAAATCGACAAAGATTTGTAAAGCAAGTTTTATATAACGCCAAGGGCGACAAACATACATGAGTTCAAAGAAAACATACATACAATACCCAACAAAAGAGAAATACAAATAGATGAGAAGAGATAAACCACAAATCTTCCAGTTTGTCAGCGTCAGTCGATGAGAAATCCACCTCCAACCATCCATAAGCAAAGCCCTAATGTTATTTTCTAAGCTAATCTAGCAAAAATGAAGGTTGATGGAGTTGGGAGCAAAAACTTTCCCAAAACCATCCTCTAACAAATGAATAAAATGAAGTTATAAAACAAATCTCAGTAGACCACGCTAAGCGGGCCCGACGCGCTAAGCGCAACTTCTTTATTTTACACATCAAACTGACCTAAACCGCGCTAAGCGCGATATCCGCACTAAGCGGGCTTTAAAATAATGCTTCTGCCAAAATGTCAAACGCAAGAAGCGCGCTACAAAATGCGCTAAGCGGGCTCTCCTGGGAAAAACTGGTTTTTTATTTCGAAAACGTGCATCCAGAGCCGTGCCTTCGACACTTTGTTCCTCAATGCTCCAAAATGCAACAAATACCTACAAAATGAATGAAAAACATCAAACTGTACACTATGTACACAAAAATACAAACTAAACATATTTACACAAAAGTCGGGTTTATTCAACGATATTAACAATAAAGAGTCGATAAGTGCAATAAAAAGTATATACAAAAATAACTACAATTTACACTTATCATGAACTCCAACAAATTGGTATCAAGAATTTCGGATCTGGTTTTGGGAAACACGAGTGTACGTAAGGTGTGTGATTGATTTATTTCTTCAAATTCACATTGAATTGTTGATCGAAATCGGAGAAGAATCACATTTTTTGATTTAGTGGGATCAGGAAACACGAGTATTTTGTGAAAGTTGAGTTATTTGCACAAGATAAAAGATTAATGGCGAAAACGGTAGCTTGATTACAAAGCTTCCAATATTATACAGAATAATTATAATCGGTGGTTGATTGAAATGCATGTGTTGTTTGGCGCTCAAGGTGTTCTTGATCTCATCAATAAAGATTGCATGATGGTTGCAGCAGCAGATATGAAAGAAGCACAAAGAAACATGTAACGTGAATTGAGAAAGATTGTTATATATCTATCAGTGGGTGGGTACGAGTGTGTTTGAGAAGATTGCTGATGTTACGAAAACAAAGGCGGAATGGGATACACTATTGTGGTGTTATGGAGGTGATGCCTCGGTGAAGAAGGTGAAATTGCAATCCCTACGCAAGCAATATGAGAATCTCATCCTGAAGAACAATGAAAAGGTACCAGATTACATCTCCAGAGTGGTTCTGATCACGAATGAGATGAATTCTTATGGAGAAACACTCTATGAACAAGTGATCATTGATAAGGTAATAATATCCCTTACTCCTCAATTTGATTATGTTGTTGTAGCCATAGAACATTTTAAAGAAACTAGCCCTTGATGTATTTATCTTGAAACCCCCAAAGATCTTTAAACCCAATTGATTACACCAAAAATGATCATGTGTAATTGTTGTATGTATTTATCAAACTATCTCTTGATCACACAACAAAAATGATCATGTATAATTGTTGTATGTATGCAATGAGAGAGGATGCAGATGATGAGAATATTTATATATTTTTGGTTTCACTACTATGAAATGATGCATGAATGATTATATATGTGTGGGTGTATTAAAGAATGAAATAGCAAAAATAGGTTTACAAAATTACAAAATTGGACATTTTGAACAGTGGGAGCTGACCCATTCGAAGTGAGAGCCGATTTCTAAGGGCAAGGGCGTCGACCCATATTTCCTGGGAGTCGACTCCAAATGGTTAGAGAAGTTTTTAAAAAAATATGCTTTAGTGGGAGTCGAGACATACCACGTAGGAGTCGTCTCCTTCATGTTATGTATCGACTCCAAGTGGTTGGGAGTCGATCCATCCTAAATAGAGTTTTAAAATTTAAAATAGCTTTCAATGGGAGTCAACCCCACAACTCTAGGGAGTCGAATCCTTAGTGTTGTGTTTCGAATCCAAAGGCCTTATGTATTGACTCATTTTGTCAAAGAGCTTTCTTTCAAAATGTTGTTAGTGGGAGTGACTCCTAACACGAATGATTCGACTTCAAACATGATTTTTCCCCAAAAAAAGATATTTTTGACATTTTTAACTTGTCTGCATGCTTTGTACTTGATCCCTAAGTGTCATAAGATGAGAATTCTACCTAGACATAGAGAGATAAGGTCCAATATACAAATACTTCATATTACCTAGTTTTTACATCATTCAAAACATCTAAGAGAGGGTATTGCACTCACATACTCCTCCTTTTGATGATGGCAAAATATGCGATGTATTTGTTATCTCTGATCATATCTCTCCCTGAATATATGTATCTTTCTTTTAATATTTGCAAATAACTTTTTCTTTGTACTTGCATTACATAGTTTCTCCCCCTTTGAAACACCATAAAGAGAAAAAGAACATCAAACGTAAGAAGCATTAAGTAAAACACACAATCACATATAAACCACTCAGAGGCGTTGAAAAGATAAATCAATCAACAAAAACAACACTCACATAGAATGATGTTAAAGTGAAAAATGTATAATCATAAATAACCAACAATGCACAAAAATGCAAGAGAGATAAATAACATGTCCAAGAATACTATCATAAGATATTTCAAATGTGAATAATTAATACCATGAAATACAAATGATGATGAAATACAAATGATTAAAACATGAAGTGAGTATAAACATATGTATCGAAAATGCTCATGGGTTAACAACAAATTTTTTGGAATTGAACATTCATGGAATTATATTACACATCAAATATATCACATACTTTTGGAACATAAACACATAATCAATTTACAATAGACATAGATAAGTATCACAAGAAATAAAAACTTACGAACAAAGAGATAAGTGAAATGATATTACCTCATAAGATGAGAAACATAAGATACACTCACATGAACTAGAACTTTCAAATGAAGGTTAAAACAATTATAGAGAGAGTGCATGCATCAAACTATTTAGGAAAATTTTGAGATATCGAGAATGCCCAATTCCCGACGAATGTTGAAAAATGGTTCAGTTGCAAGAGATTTTGTGAAAATATCGACAAATTGATTTTTTCTATCAACATGCACAAAAGCGACATCCCCTTTTTCAACATGATCGTGTAGGAAATGGTGGTGTATATCAATATGTTTAGTACGTGAGTGTAGCACAAGATTTTTAGTTAGATAAATAGCACTAATATTGTCGCACATTATCAGAATACATTGAAGTTTAATGTACAAATTAAGTAATTGTTGTTTAATCCACAAAATTTGAGTGCAACAACTACTCGCAATGACGTATTCCGACTCAGTATTTGACAAGGCAACAAATACTTGCTTCTTGTTATGCCAACTGACTAAAGAATTTGAAAATAAGTGGCAAGTTCCATTAGTGCTCTTCCTATCCGATTTGCAATCAGAAAAGTCAGAATCAGAGTAACCAACTAAACTATAATCGCATCATTTGGGATACCAAAGCCCATACTTCGAAGTATCTGTCATACCTCAAAATTTATCCTCCTAATTATACTTTTATCTGACTTATGCTTCTCATTTCATCTGCCTCACTTTTCCATCAGGTCATCATCATAGCATGCATTTGATCAAGAAATATCTTCAAACTCATTGGGTCATTGTACATGTGAGATCTAGGGTTTCATATGATTAGGGCTCCTTTACCCATAAAGGCTTGTTTTTCAACCAAGATTCTCTCTGACCATAGATTAGGGTTTGTGTTACTATGCTTATGATCATCTGATGAATAAGGTTTTGCTATGACTTTCATCATTCATTCAAAGATGGATTCATCTGGTTAATTATGTCGTAAGTCAATACTTTTGGTTTTATGCAAGAATTGAAGTTTAACGGTGTATTATTTGGTCATTCAAAATTTGGAGGGCATTTGATAAAACTTTGACTTTTGGTCAAAGGAAAACCATGAAAAGTTGAACTTTGACCAAAATCCTTATTAAAGCTTTTAGTGGTTACCTCATCTTATGCTAGTGGTTCATTCAAGTATGGCAAGTGGAAGAATTGGATAGAAGTTTGGAAATTTGAATAAATGCATTGGAGGGAAACTGAAATTTAAAATATAACACATGTGCAACTAGTATATAATTTATATTATAGTTTTGTGTACTTGCTTTTGTTTTCATTTGGTTATTGGTTAGGTGTAGTGGAAGTGTCTCGGGAACCTGTTTTGCTTATGGCATTTCTAATGCCACTGCTTGTTTTTAATTAAATTTTGTTTTGGCTTTTTAAAAAAAAAAAATTAATAAAGGGTTTGCATTCTCTGTTATTTAAGGTCACCCTTTGAGAGCTTACATCTCACATCATGTATTCCACCGACGCCGCCATGAAACTTGCTCTTTTTTCTGTTCTTACACTCCTCTCCTTCCATGCAGTGGTCTCAGTTGCAACATTGCATTTTCAACATCCACTTGACCCTTTAACCAAGGAAGAGTTTCTAGCAGTTCAAACCATAGTCCGAAATAAATACCCCATCTCAAACAACAAATTAGCTTTCCACTATATTGGCCTAGATGACCCCGAAAAAGATATTGTCTTAAAATATGAAACTTACCCAACTCTTGTAACAATCCCTCGTAAAATCTTTGTTGTTGCAATAATCAATAGCCAAACTCATGAGATAGTAATTAATTTAAAGTTGAGAAGCATTGTCTCTGACAATGTTTATAATGGATATGGTTTCCCTGTCTTATCCATTGATGAACAAGAGATTGTCAATCAACTTCCATTGAAATATCCTCCTTTCATTGCCTCAGTTAACAAGAGAGGATTGAATCTCTCCGAGATAGTGTGTTTTAGTTTCACTATGGGCTGGTTTGGAGAAGAGAAGAATAGTAGAACTGTGAGACTAGACTGTTTCATGAAAGATAATACTGTGAATATCTATGTGAGACCTATTACTGGAATCACAATAGTTGCTGATCTTGATCTTATAAAAATAGTTGAGTATCATGATAGAGATATTGAAGCAGTGCCAACCGCAGAGAACACAGAATACCGAGTTTCAAAACAAAGCGCACCATTTGGACCAAAACAGCATAGTCTCACCAGTCATCAACCACAAGGTCCTGGCTTCCAGATCAACGGCCATAGTGTTAGGTAATAAACACTTTAATTTTAATATACTTTATGATTTATTTTGTGCAATGTCACTTGCTTTAGAAATAAAATAACATTGTCACGTGTTTGTTCAGCTGGGCCAATTGGAAGTTTCATATAGGATTTGATGTACGAGCTGGTAGTGTTATATCACTTGCTTCTATTTATGATCTAGAGAAGCACAAGTATCGTAGTGTTCTATACAAAGGCTATATTTCTGAACTGTTTGTACCTTATCAAGACCCGACTGAAGAGTTTTACTTTAAGACCTTCTTTGATTCTGGAGAGTATGGTTTTGGTCTGTCAACGGTGTCTTTGATACCCAACCGTGATTGTCCACCACATGCACAGTTCATTGATACATACATTCACTCAGCTGATGGTACTCCACGCCTCTTAGAGAATGCAATATGTGTTTTCGAACAATATGGAAATATCATGTGGCGTCACACTGAAATTGGAATTCCTAATGAATCCGTAAGAATCTTTATTAAATCTAAGAGACCAACTAATTAAGTTATTCATTTAACTAGTAAGTAGTCATGATCTCTTTGATTATATACAGATTGAAGAATCTAGAACGGAAGTGAACTTGATTGTAAGAACCATAGCGACTGTTGGAAACTATGACAATGTTATAGATTGGGAGTTTAAAGCAAGTGGCTCCATCAAGCCAGCGGTAAGAGACTACATACCTCATTTGGCTTGGACTACAGTGATTCTGATTAATTTTTAAATATATGCTTTTATTTATGTATACAGATAGCACTATCAGGTATAATTGAAATTAAGGGAACAGATATTAAGAACAAGGATGAGATTAAGGAAGATCTACATGGTAAACTGGTGTCAGCAAACAGTATTGGTATTTACCACGACCATTTCTATATTTACTATCTTGATTTTGATATCGATGGTGTAGACAACTCGTTTGAGAAGACAAGTTTAAGGACTGTAAGAATCTCAAATGGAAGTTCAAAGAGAAAGAGTTATTGGACAACTGAGACTGAAACTGCTAAGACTGAATCAGATGCAAAGATCACAATTGGAGTTGCACCAGCTGAACTTGCAATAGTGAACCCAAACATTAAAACTGCTATTGGAAACGAAGTTGGTTATCGTTTGATTCCAGCAATTCCAGCTCATCCACTTTTAACAGAAGATGATTATCCACAAATACGTGGTGCTTTTACAAATTATAATGTCTGGGTGACACCATATAATAGAACTGAGAAATGGGCTGGCGGACTTTATGTTGATCATAGTCGTGGTGATGATACTTTGGCTGTTTGGACTAAACAGTATGAATTTTTCTTTACTTGTGAATTTGCAATTAAATGATCTTAGTAAAACTTGATTATTATACTAATTTGAATTGTTTAATTAAAATTGCAGAGATAGAGAGATTATGAACAAGGACATTGTGATGTGGCATGTAGTTGGAATTCATCATGTTCCAGCACAGGAAGATTTTCCAATAATGCCGCTATTGAGCACTTCATTTGAGCTGAGACCAACCAACTTCTTTGAGAGGAATCCAGTTCTTAAAACACTTTCTCCAAGAGATGTTCCATGGCCTGGTTGCTCCAATTTAAACAAGATAGCTTAATGTGTGCTGTGCAATTCATTTGTTGGTAGCTTTGAGTTTTTTATTATATGTAGTTGAATAAACATTAAATGTGTTAGTAATAAACTTTGCATTTAATTATGGTAGTAGGAAGGACAATAGTTTAACAAGTTATGATAGTTATTAGTAGCAGTTATGTTTATGTTTTAGAATTGTAAAAGTTTAATTTGGGTCTATAAAAGACCAAGTGTGTAATTTATTCATCTAGTGCAATATACAAGAGTTTATACAGAATTCTGTTTTGTATCCAACAATTTGGCATCAGAGCTCATGGCAAACATGATGAACCAAATGCCGTTGCCACGACTAACGAAGTCCAATTATGAAAACTGGAGTATCCAAATGAAAGCTCTTCTTGGATCTCTAGACGCGTGGGAGGTGACCCATGATGGGTTTGAAGAACCAACAGAAGTTGAGGGATTTACAGCAGCTCAAACGAAGGCGTTGAAAGAGACGCGAGCGAAGGACAAAACGGCATTATACATGTTATTCAGGACTGTAGATGAATCAGGCTTTGAGAAGATTGTTGGTTCGACTACGTCGAAACAAGCGTGGGACACGTTAGAAAAGGTGTTAAAAGGAGCAGATCGAGTGAAGCAGGTTCGACTCCAAACTCTTCGTGGCGAATTGGAGAGGATACAGATGAAGGATACATAAATTGTATCTGATTACATCACACGTGTGCAAAAGGTGGTGAATCAACTCACAAGAAATGGAGAGACAGTAGCTGATGCAAGAGTTGTTGAAAAGATCTTGAGATCTTTAACAGACAAGTTTGAAAATCTAGTGTGTGCAATAGAAGAGTCGAAGGACCTTTCGACGCTCTCAATCGAAGAGCTCACTGGTTCGCTCGAAGCACATGAACAACGAAAGATGAAAAAGAAAGAAGAGACAGACGAAGAAGCAAACCAAACCAAGGAATCGAACAAAGATGAAAATGTACTCTTTTCTCACAACTTTCGAGGAAGAGGACGTGGACGTGGAGGTCGTGACAGTGGTCGAAGTGGTAGAGGTAGAAACTTCGAAAGAGGACATTCGAGCCAACAAAATTGGCGTGGCAGAGGACGTGGTCAAAGAGGTGGTCGTTCGAATTATTCCAACTTCGAATGCTACAAGTGTGGGAAGTAAGGTCATTACGCGAAGGATTGCAACTCCTACAAATGTTACAACTGTGACAAAGTGGGACATCTTGCAAAAGACTGTCGAAATGAAAAGAAGACTGAAGAGACAATCAACCTAGCCTTGGAAGCTGAATCAAATGAAGGCTTTCTCCTGATGGCTCAAAACAAAATCAACACCAATGACAGTGTTTGGTATCTTGACTCAGGAGCAAGTAATCACATGTGTGGTTACAAACACCTGTCTAAAGACATGAAGGGAATTGAAGATGGTAGTGTGCCTTTTGGAGATGCATCGAAAGTGAAGGTTGAAGGAAAGGGCACAATCAGTTACTTACAGAAGGATGGCTTGATTGGATCAATCGAAGACGTTTACTATGTACCAGATCTTAAGACCAACATATTAAGTCTGGGAAAACTTACAGAAAAAGGTGCTTCGATACTGATGAAAGATCGAACACTGCAGTTGAAGGACAAAACAGGATATCTGATTGCCGCTGTTGAAATGGAAAGGAATCGAATGTACAAACTGAACCTGAGGAACATTCGAGAGAAATGTATGCAAATCGAAGTGCAAGACAAAGTGTCACTATGGCACATGCGCTTTGGTCATCTACATCATGTTGGTTTGAGAAGGTTGGCAAAAAGGAACATGGTGCATGGACTACCAGACATGGATTTCGAAGGAAAATTCTGTGAAGAATGTGTGCTCAGCAAACAAACAAGAACCTCATTTCAAAAGAAGGCAGAGTATCAAGCTAAACATATACTCGAATTGATACATACTGACATATGTGGGCCAATCACTCCAGAATCCTTCAGTGGAAAAAGGTACTTCATTTCCTTCATTGATGACTTCTCAAGAAAAACCTGGGTCTACTTCCTGAAAGAAAAATCTGAAGCATTAGAAGTGTTCAAAAAGTTCAAAGTAATGGTGGAGAAGGCAACAGACAGACACGTCAAAGCAATTCGATCTGACAGAGGAGGAGAGTATACTTCGATGGCCTTTGTGAAGTACTGTGAAGAACAGGGCATAAGGAGATTCCTAACTGCACCATATTCACCTCAGTAAAATGGTGTGGCTGAAAGGAAGAATCGAACTATTTTTGATATGGTTCGATCAATGCTCAAAAGCAAGAACATGTCGAAAGAATTCTGGGCAGAAGCAGTACAATGTGTTGTTTATATTCATAATAGATGTCCACATTCGAAGTTAGAAGACAAAACACCACAAGAAGCATGGAGTGGACAGAAGCCAACAATTTCTCATCTCAAGGTATTTGGTAGCATAGCTTATGCACATGTACCAGATCAACGAAGAACAAAGCTTGAAGACAAAAGTCAGAAGTACATATTCATTGGATATGATGAGAAGACGAAAGGGTACAAGCTCTTCAATCCCATAAGCAAGAAAGTGATTGTGAGCAGAGACGTTCGAATGAACGAAGCAAGCAAGTGGGACTGGAACATTTCGACAGAGGTTGCTGACACAGTCGAAGAAACAACTATAGCTGTACCAACAAGTATTCCAGAAGAACATGAAGAAACAGAAGATGGAGATGAACCTCTACAACCCAAAATGAGAAGCTTGCAAGATTTGTATGATTCAACAAGTGAGGTGCATCTTGTGTGTCTTCTGGCAGATGCTGAAAACATCAGTGTTGAAGAAGCGTTAAGAGATAAGAAGTGGAAAAGTGCCATGGACGAAGAAATTAGAGCAATCGAACGCAACAATACTTGGGAGCTAGTCGAATTACCAAAAGGTAGTCAACCCATTGGTGTAAAGTGGGTATTCAAGAAAAAGATGAATGCTCAAGGAGAAATCGAAAGATTCAAAGCAAGGTTGGTTGCGAAGGGATACAAACAGAAAGCAGGAATTGACTATGACGAAGTGTTCGCGCCTGTTGCAAGAATGGAGACAATTCGATTACTCATATCTCAAGCTGCTCAGTTCAAATGGCCAATATTTCAAATGGATGTCAAGACAGCATTTTTGAATGGTGTGCTCGAAGAAGAAATCTATGTCGAACAACCACTTGGATATATGAGAACTGGAGAAGAGAAGAAGGTGTTGAAACTGAAGAAAGCACTGTATGGGCTGAAGCAAGCACCTAGGGCATGGAACACACATATTGACACATATTTCAAGGAGAATGGATTTGAGCAATGTCCTTATGAACCAGCCCTCTATGTGAAGAAAAATGGAAGTAATTTATTACTTGTTGCACTCTATGTAGATGATCTTATATTTCTAGGCAGTGATGTTCAGATGATCGAAGACTTCAAAAGCACCATGACAAGCGAATTCGAAATGACAGACTTAGGTCTGATGAGATTCTTTCTTGGTCTGGAGGTTCGACAAGAAGAAGCTGGAATTTTCATATCACAAGAAAAGTATGCAAAGGAAATCTTAGAAAAATATAAAATGAAGAATTGCAATCCAACTTCGACGCCAATGGAGCCAGGTACAAAGCTGTCAAAGTTTGATGGAGGAGAACGGGTCGAAGGAAGCAAGTATCGAAGCTTGGTAGGTAGCCTTCTATATCTCACATGCACAAGGCCATACATTTCACTAAGTGTTGGCATAGTGAGTCGATTCATGGAGGAGCCAGTACACACACATTGGAAGGCGCTGAAACAAATTCTAAGATACATCCAAGGAACAGTATCACTTGGGATGTATTATTCAAAGACAGAAGACTACAAGTTAGTTGGTTATTCAGACAGTGACTGGTGTGGAGACATTGACGATCGAAAGAGCACTGCTGGATATGTGTTTTTTTACTGGAAACACAGCTTTCACTTGGCTATCGAAGAAGCAGCCTATAGTGACACTTTCGACGTGTGAAGCAGAATATGTGGAAACATCCTAGTGCGTTTGTCATGCAGTATGACTCAGAAGGTTGATAAGCAAGATGGAGCTGAAGCAGGGAGGTCCAACAATAATACAAGTGGACAATAAATCAGCTATCGAATTGGCAAAGAATCCAGTGAATCATGAACGAAGAAAACATATAGACGTTCAATTTCACTTCATTCGTGAACATGTGAAGGAGGGAAGCGTCGAATTAAGGCATGTAGCAAGCAGAAACCAAGCAGCGGATATCTTCACAAAACCACTATCGAAAGAAGTCTTCGAAAGAGGCAAGAAGATGATAGGAATGCTGGATCGAAGAAGCATTTAAGTTTACAGAGGAGTTTTGTTGAATAAACATTAAATGTGTTAGTAATAAACTTTGCATTTAATTATGGTAGTAGGAAGGACAATAGTTTAGCAAGTTATGATAGTTATTAGTAGCAGTTATGTTTATGTTTTAGAATTGTAAAAGTTTAATTTGGGTCTATAAAAGACCAAGTGTGTAATTTATTCATCTAGTGCAATATACAAGAGTTTATACAGAATTATGTTTTGTATCCAACATATGCTTGTCTTCAATGTTGAATGTTATGTGTGTTGGAACAGTCCATGTTTCAATATGTTGAATTTAAAAATTTCTCAAGTCCCACAATGTTAGAATATCTTTTTGGTTGAAAAAAATATTTAGTCCCACATTGCTCATGTGAGAAATATTAACTATATTACTTCACTATACAAGGAGTGCACATGTTTCATTCCAAATTACACCAAAAACTATTCTATTAGTTTTTCCTTCCTCACTCTCATAATTTTGCGTGAGAATTATGTTATTTTCTCCTCATTTGAGTTGAGGAATTTTCAAGTTTAATCTTTTGGATTCTCTTTGGAGAATTATTTGAATTTTTCTTTGTTGTAGAAATTATTATGAGTGGTCAAATGACCATTATTAATTTCTCTTTGGAGAATTATTTGAGTTTCTTTTTGTTTGAGAAATTATGACTGGTCTT